AATTATATAATGTAGTTACTCCTTCCTGAAGATAACCAATGGATCATTGTGGTGAAAAAATATATCATCCCATCCAGAAAAATACTATAGACAAATAAGCATCACTTCAGTCGTGTCAAAGACTCTGTGATGACGTGATGAAGTCAAACTTCCCAGACCACTGCCAAACAATCAAAGAAATAAAAGCAGCCTCTTTGCTGTTCTCGGGTTAAAAGTTATAGGACTCATGAATTTAAATTTCTAGATGTCACCACACTTCATCATTATTGTCTAAATTGCCTTCCCCACCAGCTAAAGTACTTGCAAGACTATAGAGAAACTTTCAGTGTAGGGGCAAAGAAACTTCATTCTGGAATACTGCCAGAACACCACTGTGGTGCTGCTATTTTTGCCTGGCTGGTCCAGCTTTACCTACTGACACATTTCTGTCACAGGTATTTCAGCTTGAAGAGAAGCTGTTCATCACATCACGGCAGGTACCAGCATGATGTCTCTATTGTCACAGTCTCTCCTCTAAGACACTAAGAATGTAATACAGATGAACTTGCAATGTACAACTGCCTTCAACTTTGAATATATTCCAGGAAGGTTTTTCTGGTCATAGTAGCATGCAAATGCTACTATACAAAAGTCAAAGAGACTCCACAGGCAAAGGTGCTGCCAGGTGAAGGGGACAGAAAGCATTCAGTGGTGTGTGTTCTGCTATGTGGTTTCAGGCTTGGCACACCAGTGATGTCCTGGTGCTGTAAAAGATTGTGTCTTTGGGGCCCCGTGGTTCTTCAGGAAGAGATTTCATGGATTAAAATGGTACTCCAAATTCTACTGCAAATTTGATGGGAAAGAGATGCACTTACTAAGAACAGGTACACTCAGCGAGTCTTTTCATCTTAGTGCAACTCTCTAACCCAAAGTTAACCAAGTTACTGGCTTTCACTATATGAACTCCTGACTTTTCCAGTGGAGATGTGCATCTTAGTTTAGTAACTTTAAGACTATTGGCAAGATGCTTGCCTTGTTGTTGCCTTCTAGAAGTCTCTTAAAAGTATTGCTGTGCCTTTCCCTAGGGGTCTACATGTCACAGAAGCCACTGTGCTAAGCAAATGTGAAAGTAAATGAAATATAGGTCACAGCAGGTGGACTCTTACCTGAAAGGAGACAGGGTAAGTCCCTGGCAAGCTAGAGATACAGCATTACTGCTGCGAGTCACAAGCTCTTTTGACTCCAGCCTGAGCCTAAGGATTTGTGATACTGTCGCAATCTGCTGCCTCTATCACTGGTAGACTATTAGCAAAGATGAAATTTGTATTTGTTATCAGAAAAAGTTTGTTGGGTTTGTTTGTTTTTCCCACATAACAACAAAAACAACAACAAAAAAGACTAAAATCAAAAGATACCACTTTTTGATGCCTGCAGAGCATGAGACGGTAGCTCCAAGAAGACATACAAACTATCTCTGTTTTCATCTTATACCTTATGGCAGCTCCTAGGAAGAGTAGCCCACAGATGGGTGGAGGACTTTTGACACAGGCCTAACCTAGAGAAGTCTCATCTATAGACAAAGCAGAGTAAACCTTCCCTAGGCTTCAAAGCTTCTAACTGTATAATTAGTTGAGAGTTGATCAAGGCAGATATTAAAAGGCATGTACCTTATCTTATCTTTGGATTTTTACTCACATGGCAGACTAAACCAATTTTGTTTACTACAAGTATCTACTGGTGCCCTTCCAGAATGTCATTCAAGCCATTCTGAACTGCCTTCATAAGGACAGCTTGTCTCCACCACTATTTTCTTCATACTGAATCCAACCTCGCAATGGGATGACAGTTGCCCTCCTTTTTCCTAAACTTGCAGTGTTCTGAGGTTATTGAGATAATACTTTTGCTCTGAGGTTGTCATTCACTTAACACTAATTGCTGTGCTGGAATTATTCTGCTCTATATTATACCACCACACCAAGCCTTAAAGAACAAATCTCTGGAATAAATGCCTGTGTTATTATATGGGTTCCTGAGAAGTAAAGAACACCTCCTGCTCTCAAATCCAATGCCTACATTCTTAACACGTTTTAGAAAATCAAGCTACTAATTTATGGCTCACTCCTAAATGCACTGGCTTTTGTTTTCTTAGCAACTTTTTAAGAACTCTAAAAGGTTTTATAGTTTAAAGACAGTTTAACTTAAACTTAAAAAAGAGTTTAAATTTAAGGGAGCTTGAAAGGAGTTTTAAAGAATGAAATTTTAAGACTTTAAGAACTCTTTAGCTTGCTTGGATACAGGAATTGGGCTAGATGGTCTCCAAGGGTCCCTTCCAACCTAAGTCTTTTCTATGGTTCTGAAACTGATGAGAAAGTTTTCTGCAGCATCATAAACCCAAAGTTCACTCACTGCTAAAATGAGGAAGTCTGACTCACACTGTCCCCCCACTTCTAGAAGAATGTTTCTCATCCTATGCTCAAACTGATGACTGGAATAAGGATACAGTGTCTTGAATGGAATGGGTAGACAGTTATATTACCAAAGGAGGTTGATTCAGTGTCATTGGCAGACAAACTAGAGAGCCAAGTAATTAATATTGATTGAGCCAGACTTTACCACACATTCATTAGAAACATTACGTTAAAAACTCAGAGGCATACATTTGCTTTTGCAGCAGATTCTTAAAGGGTGTGAGACAGTTGCCTAGCAACTTTGCTCATCATCCTTTCATTGTGTTGTAACAGTTTTCCTCCACTGCTTTGAATTTAAAAGCTTCACTGAATAACAAAAAGGAGTCACAAGCATATTTAACAATAGTTCTGTATTGTTAGCATAACTAATATCCTCATTTTACTTCCTTTACCCATCAGCAATAGAGTCTACAAAACCCAAGCCTGACTCCCTTGTTATTTCTTTGCACCACACTGCATATGAAACTGTGCAATAGTCAGTGCTAAGCATCTTTGCCCTGAAGAGCTTCAGTCTGGAAGAATTTGGGCTGAGATGAGCTAAGAAATACAGAAGTTAGCAGCTGGATTTTTTCTGATATTTTTCTGCTGGAGTTGTCACTGTTGAAATTGAAACTTTGGTCCTGTATCACTTCAGATTTGAAAATGGTCTATTCAGGACATGCATCACAATAGCTCATGTCTTTCGGTGAGACATGCAAAAATTGCTTTCTGGTGACACCGGTCTGTGGTACTGCCTTAGGATAAACTGCTAATGGAAACTTGTCTAACTCTTGGCCTTCAAATGCAATTATGCCTTTCCCATCAGCTTGGTGGAAGCAGACTCCCATGGAAAAACGCTTCTAAAAGCCAGTCCTAACATTGGCAGTTTCTTATGAAAGCTACTTTGGCCTTACTTTCATTTTAACTTCTTTTCTTCTCTTTCAATATACTTCAGGATGTGTTGTAAATTCATAGAAGATTTTAAATGATATAGTGCAAGAGGTGATTTAAGTGATTGCACTTTCTGGTTGATCAATTGGGATTCATCAGTCTGTTTCTTTCTCTTGCTATCCTAAATCCTCTGACTTCCAGTAAGTGAAACAAGTGTCAAAGTGCAGAAATATGCCAGATGGATCTGATTAAGAGGGTGGGGTAACACTGGAGATTAATTACATGGAATAAAACGAAACAAAAAGGGACACATAGATACCACCCACAGAACTTCTAAGGAGGAGACTGCTATTACGCACTTAGGTGAATGACTGGAATCAGCCAGATAAAAGCTTGTGCTATCAGCAGGGCTTGCTAGCTTGGAGACAGCACTGATGATAGTTTGCAGAGTGGGGCTGCATAGAAGGCATGCTCCAAGGCATGGCTTAAAAGTAGAGCCTCCTTTGGCACTCTGTGGGTCCACCTCTTGCATTCCGCTACCAGAGTGACCTGGTCTGTGTGATCAGAAGCTAGGAGAGGGGCTGCAAGGTTGTGCTGTGAGTTCAGGAGGTGGTGGTGCTGGATGAATGTGACTTGACAAGCCTAGAGTAATATAGAGGCTGAGGCCTTGTTTAAATTGCATCTTAACCTAGGGTGTGATTTAAAACCAAGATGCTTAAACTTGTGCAAATACCTATGTGGGCACTTGTTTCAATTTAATCTGATTAAACATTTAAAGCATAATGAGAAAGGCAGTGTTAGCATGGCGGGGAGAAAGGGATCTAAGTTATTTATTTTCCATGTGGACAACACCTTGCCTTCCAAGCTTTCAGTTCTTATGTGTGACTTACTCAAAAGTGAGTATTTGCATTTCATACCTGACCTGGTGAGGAAACAAAACAAGAACCACATAAAATTCAGCAAAAATGTACATTAAAATATGTATCAAACCCTATCAGGGTCAGACAAATAGTATCAGTGAGGTCACATAACCACTTGGGCCCATGTCCTCCTCCCTGGGGAAGATGTAGAACCTTGTATGAAGTCAGGATAATCAACTGAGTTTTAATAGTTAAATTAGGGCTTGCAAAATATCACTTAAAGAAGCATGAACTCCGTATTAATAACTGCTTGCTCTAGAACAGTCTTTCTGCAGTTGATCTTCCCATTATTTTGGGGCATCTTTTCTTGTACTCCAAAGTGCTGTGCATTATTTTCAGGGGCAGATAATAGTCCTGATATGGTATGTCCTACTGTACACTTTGAATGTAAACAGTGGCAGAGAGAAGTGGCCAATACATGGGATTAGTGGGGCTTTTTCTCAGTCTAACATAAGGTAGTGTATGAAAAAACAAATTGCAACTAAGGTAGGATAAAGGGCATGTGCAAGGGTCTATGAACAGTTTGGCATAACTCAGATCCTAATTACAGTATCCTCTTAGCTCCCTGTGTGAAGAGTTTAGGTAGATATGCGGTTCTAGATCAGATGCAGCTTTTGCTCAGTGTAAGGCACCTTCTAGCTAGGCAGGATTTGAGCCCTGAACGCTACATGAGAAATGATCTTTTAGGCAAGATTTTGTCATACTTGAAACAAAACTTGTTTCTCACATCTGTCTAACAAGATGTGTTTTCTTCTACCCTGAGAGCAGTGGAGTGAAGTGCAGCAGATGATAAATGGCACCCCGGTCTATATGTACCAGGACTGCAGTGTGCTTTCCGAGGGTGACACTGATCACTGGCTTCGCACCAACTGGATTTATCGGGGTGAGGCAGCCTCGCGCATTTACGTGGAGCTGAAGTTTACTGTGCGGGACTGCAAGAGCTTCAAAGGTGAAGTGGTAACCTGCAAAGAGACCTTCAATCTCTATTACATGGAGTCTGAACAAGATGTCGGGATCCAGTTCCGCCGCCCGCTGTTCATCAAGGTCTGTAGCGCTGGGGGTGAAGACTGAGTCATGTCTTTCAGCTTTAAACTAGGTGTGTCCTGCTGGCTGGGGTAGGCCAGCAGAGCCAGCATCTGGGGAGGGGCATGGACAGTAAGTGTTGTCCTTAGAATACACTTTGCCCTATGCCCTCTGTGACGCTCAGAAGAATCTTTGCCACAAGAGGCACACGGGTTCTCAAATGAGATCAGACCTCCATTCTATGTAAGTACTTATTTAACTGGAGACCACATAGGTAAGGATTCTGAAGGGCTGCAACAGTGCTGGATGATTACACCAATTTTTGGAAATAGTAGAGATCAGAGGAATTTGATTTGCTTTGGGTAATAAAACAAGATTAGACCAAGTGAAGAACAGAATCCAGTTCAGGCGTCTGTGCTCTTGACCATTTACTCATGTATCTGATTGTTACAAGATGTAGGTTCTTATTTTCAAAAACTGGAGGTGGTGGCTTGCTAAAATGAAATTCTCCCTTGTGTGAAAGTATTTAGCACTGCTACATTTTAACTACTGTTTCCTTCAACATAGTGCCCTCTTTCCATGCAAACATTTGAGTTGCAGAACGGGGAACCTCAGCTTTTTTGCAGAGGAAATTCTATAACCCAGTTCTGTCCTAAAAGAAGCTACTTGACTGCCCTTTCCTCTGTGGTTTAAGTGGCGTGTGATGAAAAGAAAGAACAGTAAAGGCCATCACAGGCAGAGCAGGAGAATGTGGTAACTGATTCCCCTCCCTCACGAGTGTTCCTCCACCTCCCCTGCAGCCTACCATGTAAATTTGTGCGATACCTCCACAACTCCTAAACCTGCCTTATGATCCCACTCCCAGATGCAGCTGCTCTGCAGATCCTTTCATCTGCCATCCAACTACATGGAGTGGGTGGTGTCATACAATAGGGAGGGCCTGTGGTGGAGAGGATCACTTAGGCTCTCCTTCTGAGAAGACAGTCCACCCCACCTGCAGTCCAGCAGCTCTTCCACATCCCATGTCACAGAGGCCTTTCCAAGCATCAAAAGCATCTCTTGTCATTCTCATCCTTTGTTTGTGGAAACAATGGGAACGTAAGAGTGTGGGAGCATTTTTCACCCAAGTATCTAACAGTGCTGAAGTATGTTGTGTGCTGCATGAGAAGCACCTTGCAGTAGATAATCTGATCTGCATCAAATACAGCATAGAAACAGGTGACTAATTCACTGGTCAATTTAAAATCGCAGCTCCAAGCAGTATTGTGATTTTACCGCATACAATTTGCAAACAAAGAAAAATATCACAGAAAGGAGATTTGCTCCATTAAGAGGCTGTTCCTAAAGACCTCTGAGATCAGAGACCCAAAACATAGGTATAAGACCAGTGAATGACTGCAAGTAAGTTGAAGAGGTGATGGAAAGTATACTTGCAAGGAAGGCTGCTGATCCCATTGTTAACACCACTTCCAAGTGCAAAGCAAGCATGCAGTGGTTTAGAAGCAGTTGACCTTAAAGCACCTAAAAGGCTTTAGTGTAAAAGAAGTTTGAGAGGCATGGGTAGCTCAGCTGCTGGTGCCTGCTTGGATGTTGAAGCTGTTGTCTTTTTCTCTCTCGCTTAGCTCAACACTGTGGCAGCAGACCGAAGTTTCACCAGCAGAGACATTGAATCGGGTGCCATGCAGCTGAACACAGAAGTGTGCCCCATTGGGAAGCTGTCTCGCCGGGGCTTCTATTTGGCTTTCCAGAACTCCGGGGCTTGCGTAGCCATGGTGTCTGTCCGGGTGTATTACAAGACTTGCCCAGAGGCTGTGCGGGGCCTGGCCCGTTTTCCAGAGACGTTAGCAGGCTCAGAAGGGCTGACAGAAGTACCCGGGGTCTGCGTGGAGTATGCATCTGAAGAAGAGGGCTCCCCTCCCCGTATGCATTGCAGCACTGATGGCGAGTGGCTGGTACCAATGGGCCGATGCCTTTGTGCTGTGGGGTTTGAGGAAGTCGATGGGAGCTGCATAGGTAAGTATGCACACAGCCACTGGCTGTACACCATGGGAGAGGTTCCAGGGAGCTAGAGATCAGAGCATCTGTAAGCATAAAGTGGTATCAGCAGTTAGTGTGGTCTACCTCTCTCTTGCCTGCCCTCTGTGCCTGACAGATTTAACTTACACCTTCCCTCCCCTCCTTAGCTTCTCTTTTTCAATTGTGCTTTTTCTCCTCGTGTCAGGTGTAAGACCTGCACACACCTCTCCACTCCTTCTTGGGCTTCATCCAGGAGCCTTCAGCTCTGGAGCTAGTTGTTGCGAGCTGTAACTGTGTGATTGACACTGACTCACTCAACAACTGGTTCCCAATCCTTAAATGGCAGCCTTGTTCTCTCAGGGCACATGGGTCAAATGCACAGAACAGCTTACTTGTCCCTGACTAGAAAGCTGAGAGCTGGGGCTGGGAGGGGGGAACACAACAAGTTTCTCCTCTGTGTCCCCTTCTGCTTAGACTGGGATGGCTCCTCTGCCATGGGAAATCATGTAAAGCACATTGCTCAGTGCGTAGGTGCCTGGCTCATTTCTGAGGAAGAGCAATTAGCAAGCATAGGAGTCACCGGCTACTGGAGCCACAGAGCGAGCCAGGGTTGTTGGAGCAAGCAGTGCAGGGCTCTCCCATTGCCACAGAGGGCACAAAATTCAGCTGCTCAGAGTAACTTTGTGAGTGTGTCACAGGAAGAGGATACGTGTGTCTTTTGGGGGGATATGTATTACTGCAGACTGGGAGGTAAAAGCACACCCCTGCTCTTGTTGTCAGAGCCATATGGCACATGGCTAAGGCATACAGAAAAAGGAAGCCATGCACCACGTTCCAGGTCAGCAGATTCCCTGTCTCTGCTTTGTTCACCTTTGCTCCACTCCAAGGATCTGGTGCCTCCATGAATCCCCACTGCTTGTTTTGCTTGGGAAGCTGGTGAAGGTTGAAGCACAAGCTCCTGCCCTCCTCCAGCAATCCCCTCGCCTTCACAGCCCAGCCAGTTTTTCCACTTAGGTGCTACAGAGCTCTCCCCGCCCTCCTGAGAGCACTCCCCTGGGAAGGGGCAGGGAAGCTGTCATGTCTAGACAAGCCCTGACTGCTATCACAGCACAGGTTCATTCTACATCTATGCTTTTATCCCACTCCGCCCAAGTACAGCTGCAGCCAGAAGTGTCTTGTAGGATCAGTAGGGGCTAGGGAGGTCTCCCAGGAGAGGAAGGGAAGAGGCGGGAAGTTAACAGGGGTAAGGAGAGGTAATTCATGTCCAAAGCAGTGTCTTATTGGAGGATCAGAGGAGAGGGTGAATGAAGGTTGCCTGTGGAGGATAACTTGGGGTCCCCACCCTCAGTGGAAAAGACCAGGCATTGTGCAAAGCACTGGGAACAATCCAGGTCAGGATAAAGACTGAGGTCACAGCTTCTACTTTGTCCTCAGGCAGAAAAGATCAGGCATTGTGCAAAGGACTGGGAACAACCCAGGTCAGGATGAAGTCTGAGGTCACAGCTTCTACTTTGTTATCAGAAGGACTTCTCCTTCAAACACATAAAGGGGGACAGGATGGAGGAGACCTCCAGGCAGTGTCTTCTGGTTCCGAGTTTAAAAGGAAAGCTGAACCCTTGTCTCACAACAGGAAGAAAGCCTGACCTCTGTTAGAGGACAGAAGACAACACAAAGCCACCAAAGGTTGAGGTTCTTAACCAGTTCACTCAACCTCTCCCTGAATTCCTAGCCACATAAAGCTCTGCTGGGTCCATAATAGTTCAGCCATCCCATGATCCCAGAAAAACTGTGCCAGTCCAACGCATGACATCTCACTCTTTCAGTGTTGCAGACTTTGCTACTGATAAACCCTCACCTTTGTGATTAACTTCCTCAAGTAATGTACCAATTTACCGCGAACACGAGGGCTGGCTGTGCCCCTGGCCTGTGTGCTGGTTCCCTGACAGGCTCTGCAGGGTGGCAAGTGAGCCGAGCTCCATGTCGGCTCAGCCTGGTGCCTGCCGGCAGTCTCCTCATGAGCCCCTGCACGAACAAGGAGCGAAGGCAGGGCCCCAGCGCTCTCTGCCCTCTGATGCCCGGCGAGCAGAGCTGAGCGGGCCCTTTCCCAGGCCTGTTTTTCCCAGCGTGTCGCCTAGAGCTGGTGCCCAAGGGCCGGGGAAACCATGTGCCGGGGGC